ATTGGTCCCAGTTGTGAGGATTTTTTCATTATTTGGTCATCCCTAAATGCGCTTTCACACCCTTTGTCATGTTCACTTGGGTGGGTCATTTTTCTTTGTGTGCTTTATGAATTTTAGAGGTTGTTACCTTTCTCAGATTTCTTCAGTTTTTGCTCACGCTGCTTTCCGCTTTTGCTTATCATTTCCTCTCCTATGTGATAGCGCCTTCTCTCTCCCTGGTTCAATTGGGACTTGAGGGACCCAGATCTCATCTTTCAACTTTCAATCTCTCCGGAACACATTATGGGCAGTCTGCCCACTAGCAGGCACTGGCACTAGGTGAGATACCAAGTACTGTTCAATATCCACCAGGGGCACAGTCCCTCGTCTGTTTATTAATGTCAGGGCTGGGTGCTGTCCTTCCCTGCTGGGTGAGGCCCACTTGTATCTGAGCTAGGAGTCAGCAGAGGTGCAGGCTGACTTTCCTCCTTCTTATGGGGAAGAGGTCCTAGTACTCCCCAGAGAGATCTGTTTTTTTTTTTGGTTTCAGAGCCACAGTGGCCCAGACAATACACCTTTTGATTCTACTACTGTTGTTGGTAAGTGCCATTGAGTAGGTTTAGGCCCATAGTGAACCTGTATAGGGTTTCTGAGGAGCAGCTGGTGAGCTTGAACCGCCAATCTTACAGTTCAAAGTGACTTTTCAGTCCAGTGCATTAATGCACAGCCACACCAGGACTCCACTATGGTGGTGGTGGTGTGCCGTTGAGTCGGTTCCAATTCATAGCGACCCTGTATAGGGTTTCCGAGGCTGTAAAATCTTTACGGGAGCAGAAAGCCTCATGTTTCTTCTGTGGAATGTAGTTTCGAACTGTTGACCTCGAGGTTAGCAACCCGATTCACAACCACTAGGCTACCAGAGCTCCATATGGTCATGCGCCGTGGAGTGACTTCTGACTCATAGCGACCCTGTACAAGGTTTCTGAGGCTGTAAATCTTTACGGGAGCAGAAAGTTTCATCTTTCTGCCATGGAACAGCTGGTAGTTTCGAATTACTGACCTTAAGGTTCGCAGCCCGATTCATAACCACTACGCTAACCCTCTATAGGAGTTCTTATCAGTGTGGCAGCTGAGAGCAGTTAGGGGAGGGGTAGTCACACTCTGAATACGGATCCCCAGGGAGGTCTGTTTTGTTGGGATCAGAGCCTGTCCTACAGCATGTTGGCTGTGATTGCAGCCCCCACTCAACACACAGCAGCCTCAGCCAGCAGTCCTCAGCAGACTAACAGTAATTGAACCCCAGGGAGGTTTGTCCTATAAATTTCAGGATACCCAGCCGGGCAGATAGAGTGCTGACTATGAGAGCAGATTCCACTGCAGGGCCTTCAGTAGCAATTCACAGCTGGCTTGCAGGTGACAGTGTCTGAGTGAAGGAAGTCAGCCTTGCTTTTATTAGAGTTCTCTAAGTAGAATGTTGGGGGGAGTTGTTAGTGTTGTTAAGTGCTATCCAGTCAGTTCCAACTCATTGTGAATCTGTATGAAGCTTCCAAGGCTAAACATTTTTATGGGTGCAGAAAGCCTCATTGTGCTCCTGCAGAGCAACTGGTAGGTTTGAACTGCCGACCTCGTGGCTAGCAGTCCAGTGCTTATCCTTCAGTGCCACCAAGGCTCCTATCCACTAAACATACCTGCTTCTTACAGCACACAGCAGCCTCAGTCAGCAGACCTCGGCACAGACTGAAAGTGGGAGCAGACAGATCTGAAATGACTCCCTGTGAGGTCTGTTCTAAGTTGGTTTGAGTCCTGAGCTTGGGGTATGCAGGCTCTCAGAAAGTTTACAATGGGAACAGACTCCACTGCAGAAGCCTTCCATAGAGATGTGCCATAGGAAGCCACAGTGTCTCCATGGGGGAGGTACTGGAGTATTTCAAATGAACCCTGGGAAAGGTCTGCCTTGCTTATCAAAGTCCCAGTCTGCACTCTATTGGCTGTGGGTGTAATCTCCACTCAAAATGACTGTTTCTTAGCACATAGCAGGCTGCAACAGTTCTTAGCACTGTTTCGAGTCCCTCAAGATCCAACACTGTTTCCTTGTATTTCTTATATTTGTAAAGGAGGGTAGGACTGCTGATTTGTTTATTTCACCATTTCACCAGAATCTATCTGAACTTAAAAGAGTTTTAATATTTGACCTTCTAATTTAAGAGTTTGTTGTTGTCGTCTGTTCCGACCTAGTATAGCATTTCCAAGGAGTGGCTGGTGGGTTTGAAGCACCGATCCTGTGGTTATTAGTTCAGTGTTTATCCAGCAGTGCCACACCAGGACTTCACTAGAAATTGTTTTTCAATTTGTTTGCAACAAAGATCCCTCATTTTATTTCGTTGCATTCTAGATTACCGTGTTCCAGCATGAACTACTAAAGGCCTATTTTCTGAATCTTTCAGTAACTAGTTTCTTACTTTGGTTCAGTGAGCATTTACTGAATGCTTACTTTGTACCAGGCACTATGCCAGAGGTGCAAAAATAGAATCAAATGTGATACCTCCCTCTCTTAGCAGTCTAATGTAACACCTGCATGATTTCTGGCACACACTTACCAATGAGCTCTGTGACTTGTGGAAAATTTCCACTTCCAAGCCTCAGTTTCTTCACTTATATAAAGAGCTAACCTCTATTGTAGGAGTGTGGTGGCTCCATACGATAAACACTGTACTGCAAACCACAAGGTCTATAGTTCGAGTCTGCCAGCTACTCCATGGGAGAAAGATGAGGCTTCTGCTCCCACAAAGATTTAAAAGCCTCAGAAAGCCTATACTGGTCACTATAAGTTGGAGTCAACATGAAAGTGCTTAACAACAACCTCTTTGTTGGAGCCCTGGTAGTGTAGTGGTTATGAGTTGGGTTGTTAACTAAGTCAGCAGTTCAAATCTACCAGCTGCTCACAGTCACTCATAAGGGGAAAGACAGCCACTCTTAATAAACCCTATACAGGATGGTTGAGTCGGAACTGACCCAACAGCACTTAAAAACAACACCATGCTAGTCTACTGTGATACGTTAGAGGCAAGAATTTGTCCCTAAATTTTGTTCTAGTAGTCTCAAGCATTACAAAATTTAAAAGTATAGTAAGAGATAGACCCAGAGACAGTGAGAGAAAAATGTAGAACAAACCTCAAGTTTCCAAAAAGACCAGACTTACTGGTAGAGACTAGAGTAGACCCCACGATTATTGCCCTGACATATCCTTTAAATTGGAACTGAAGCCATTCCCAGAGGTCACCTGTCAGTCAAATAATATACTGGTTCAAAAATGAAACAGTATCATCAGTGAGTACACAGTTATCTACATGAGATAAAATGGTTAATATTTACCCAAGTGCAAAGATGAGAAGGTAAGTGGGGGCCAGAAACATAGTTTAATGGAAACAGAACAAGCAAAATGAAAATAATGACAATGCTAACACATTGTAAAAAATGTAACCTGCGTCATTGAACAATACATATAGAAATTGTTACATGGGAACCTAATTTGCTGTGTAAACTTTCATCAAAAATACAATTAAAAAGAGGGGAGAAGTGAGAAGTGTAACAAGGAATCTGAAGCAACAATATTCCATACTAATGGGCAACAATTATAAGAATCAGAGAAGGTGAAACAGTAATAAAAATATTAAAGTTAATGACATTAAAATTGAATTACCTTTTTGAGGCTAGACATACAAAGGAGAACTTAGAAGTCAGGATGGGAAAAGACATAGGCAAAGGAAAAGAGAAATTCTAGGAAAAGGTTCTAAAATACTTATCTAACAGAGCTAGAAAGGAAATTACTTTTGAGAAGAAATAAAAATAGGAGATAAGTAAAGGTCACAATTCAAGTCATATGGAATAATAGCTGTGGCCAAAGGAGAAAAGAGAACAATTTAGCAAGTAAAGAATAATTATGCCAGTTTTATTTTTCCAACATATAGCTGTAAAAAAGTAAAATTAGCAGTGTGTTTACAAAAGGACCTGCAGGGGGAGCAACTGACAACCAACCTAGACGGTGTGTGCTGTTTGTGTGAAGACACAGTATAGTGCCAAAGATGAACTATTAAAGCCATGTAGATGACAAATTAAGGTGTGAAAAATGCTCATCTGACATGAAAAACATACCTTGATTATAAATTCTATAAATGAGTTCCTAATAAACATTTTTGCTTAAAATTTTTTATTTTTCCTCTGGTCATAATTTGCTAACAAAGAACGTAAGAGTATTTGAGATTTTGCAGGAACAAACATGCAAAATTAAATAAAAATGCTCAGGACTGTAAAGCATTTGTTTTCCAACAGACTGCTGAGGTATCATAAACATTAAAATTTAAAGCAAAGACATGATCAAAATGTTACAAAGCAAATCAAGATTGGGGATTGAAAAGGCCAAAACACTAAAGGCAGACCCACCTAGAACATTCATTATCCGTAATTTCTGTGAGTCCTGAAAACTGTAAGGATGACAGACAGATATGACTGGTGTGTAGTAATAGCATTCATCAATATCATGGCCAAAACACAAGCAATTCATAGATAACCAACTCAACAGCACTTGCTTCTAGTTGATTTGATCTAATGTAAACCTTGTAATATTTAGAAAATTGAAAGATGTTTTTACATTGAACCATCAAGTTCATAATGGTTAATTAACCCTAGCTTTATTATACATTTCTATTTATCTACCTCTGGTGTTTAATTTTAAGTGAATGTAATTAAAAATTCAACATAATGTGGCACTGTAGGGATCAGCACAGGACTGTAAACCACAAGGTTGGCGTTCAAACCCACCGGCTGCTCCTCAGAAACTCTATACAAGGTCGCTATAAGTCAGAACCAACTCTGTGGTATTTAATAACAGTAACATGTCCTATCATTATAATTATCAGAACAAAATCAAGGAACATTCAAATACATTTTATTGCTGGTTCCAAGTTATTACATTTTTGTGTAGTTCTACTTTTTCTTTTAAAGGGATTTAAAACATCATTTACCTGTAGATGAACAATCCTCTGAAATATATCTTCTCTCATGCTCATCTCGATATCGAAACGAGAAAGTCTTTTGTCCGCTTCTGTACTTGCTGCTCTTACTTCTTTGTCAGAGGAGACATGCTGGGGAAAGTCTAGCATGGTTCTTTCGACTGTTGACAGAGAAAAAAAAATCACAACTTTTTTCTAGTAGTCAATGAGTTAATTGAGATTCATGGTGACCCCATGTATGTCAGAGTAGATGTGTGCTCTACAGGGTTTTCAATGGCTGAGTTTAAAAAATAGGTGGTCAGACATTTCTTCTGAGGTACCCCTGCAACTTTCCAGTTAGCAATCAAGTGCAATAACCATTTGCACCACCAAGACTTTTAAAATCAGTATTCAGTCAAATACACTAAACAAGATGTATGATCCACCACTCAGCTGTCAGTTTGTCACACTGTGTTGCTGTGATGCTGAAAGCTATGCCATTAGTATTTTAAATGCCAGCAGGATGAGCAGTGGTCGACAAATTTCAGCTATGCTTCCAGACTAAGACAGACTAGGAAGAAGAGATGGAATCCTTATGAATGTTCAGCCACTGAAAATCTTATGACTAGTAGTGCAACACTGTCACACAAGCCCCTAAATATTGAATACTGAAACATTACGAATAGTATCAAAATATTGTCAGATACAGTGCTGGAAAATGAGACCTTCAGGTTGGAAGGCAACTGGGAAAAAGCTGCCGCCTCAAAGTAGAGCTGACCATGATTACACAAATGGAGTAAAGCTTTAGAGGCCTTCATTTTCTAAAGGACAAACTCAAAATGAGGAGAAAAATATGCAGTCATCCATTACTAATCAGAACATGGACTGATTGTATGAATGTAGGAAAATTGGAAGTTGTCAAAAATGAAATGGAATTCATAATGATTGATACCCTGGGCATAGTGAGATGAAATGGACTGGTTTTGGCCATTCTGATTCAGATAATCACATGGATTACTATACTGGGAATGATAAATTGAAGAGAAATGATATCACATTCATCATCAAAAAGAACATCTCAAGATCTGTCTTGAAGTACAATACTGTCTGTGATATGATAATATCCATACGCCTATAAGGAAGACCACTATTATTCAAATTTACACACCAATCTCTAAAGCTATTAATGATAAAATTGAAGAATTCTACCAACTTCTGTCTGAAATGGATCAAACATGCAATCAAGATGTATTGATAATTATTGGTGATTGGAATAAAAAGGCTGGAAACAAAGAGGAAGGATCCGTCGTTGGAATATATGGCCTTGGTAATAGAAATGATGCTAGCGATCACATGATAGAATTCTGGAAGATTAATGACTTCTTCACTGTGAATAGTTTTTTAAACATATAAGACAACTATACATAGGCATGGCCCATACCAGGTGGGATACACATAAATCAAATTGACTACATCTGTGCAAAGAGCCAATAGAAAACCTCCAAACTGTTGCTGTTAGGTACCACTGAAATGGTATTGACTTTATGCACAACAGAATGAACAGTGCCTGGTCCTGCAGTGAATTCACAATCATTGTTACACTTGAGTCAACTGCTGCTGACACTGTGATCCATCTCATTGGGGACCTTCCTCTTTTTTTCACTGACCCTCCAAATTTACCAAGCATGATGTCCTTCTCCAGAGACTGGTCTCTCCTGATAATATGTCCAAAGAATGAGAGACGAAGTCTGGCCATCCTGGTTTCTAAGGAGCATTATGGCTGTACTTTTCCCAACACAGATTTGTTTGTTCTTCTGGCAGCCATGATATTTTTAATATTCTCCTCTCACACCACAACTCAAATGCATCAATTCTTCTCTAGTCTTCCTTATTCACTGGCCAAATTAAAATGCATATGAGGCTACTGAAGATATCATGGTTTGCATGAGGTATACTTAAGTCCTCAAATCGATGTATTTGTTCTTTTTTTTTAATGTTTTATTGTGACTTATATGATAGCTTACAAGGGAGAACATTAGTTTTACATTCATCCTATCATATATCTTTTCATTGCCATGGTTACAATCCCCTCCAAGCATCATCAACCAAGCCTGGCCCCTGAATCATCAGCACACAGCCCCTCTCTCTCTCTCTCTCTGGGTCTGTAGTCCCTAGCCACTCCATCTCTCCACGTCATAATCTTTGCCTCTATCTCTGGCGTCACTGCTTCTCTGGGTAGGGTCCCGCTCTCTGTATTTGTTCTTGAACACTTCAATCTTTCAATGTTATTTATTGGTCCAGTGGTAAGGATTTTTGTTTTCTTTACATTGAGGTGCAACCCATACCAAAGGATGTGGTCTTTGATCTTCGTCAGTAAGTATTTTAAGTGCTTTTCACTTTCAGCAGCAAGGTTGTATCATTTGCATATCCCCGGTAGTTAATGAAACTTCTTCCAATCCTGATGCCACGTTTTTCTTCATATAATCCAGCTTCTCAAATTATTTGCTCAGCATACAGATTAGATAAATATGGTGAAAGAATAAAATTCTGATGCACAATTTCCCTCATTTTAAACCATTCAATGTTCCTTTGTTCTGTTTGAACAACATCCTCTTGGTCTATGTTCAGGTTCCTCATGAGCACAATTAAGGGTTCTATAATATTCATTCTCCGCAATTTTATTTATAGTTTGTCATGATCCACACAACTGAAAGCCTTTGTGTATTCAATAAAGCACAAGTAAACATCTTTTTGGTATTCTCTGCTTTTACCCAAGATCCATCTTATGTCAGCAATGATATCCCTTGTTCCATGTCCTCTTCTGATTCCAGCTTGAACTTCTGGAAGTTCTCTGTCAATGTATGGTTTGAGCTGTTTTTGAATTATATTTAGCAAAATTTTACTTCCATGTAATATTAATGATACTGTTGGATGATTTCTGCATTCTGCTGGGCCACCTCTCTTTGGAATGTGCACAAATACGGATCTATTCCAATAAGGTAGCTGTCTTACAAATATATTGGAATAGATGGGGGAGTGCCTCCAGTGCTGCCTTAATTTGTTGAAAGATTTCGATTTGTATTCCATAAATTTCTGGAATCTTGTTGTTTGCCAATGCCTTCAATGCACCTTGGGCTTCTTCCTTCAGAATCATTAACTCTTAGCCATATGCTACCTCTTGAAGTAGGTGATCATGGACCACTTCTTTTGGGTATAGTAACTCTGTGTATTCCTTCCATCTTCTTTTGATGCTTTCTGCATCATTCAATATTTTGCCCATAGAATCCTTCAATAATACAAGTTGAGGCTTGAACGTTTTCTTCAGTTCTTTCAGCTTGAGAAATGCTGAGCGTGTTCTTCCCTTTTAGTCTTCTAACTCCAAGTTTTTGCACATTTCATTTTAATATGTGACTCTGTCTTCCCGAGATACCCTTTGAAAATTTCTGTTCCACTTTTTTACACCCTCAATTCTTCCATTTGCTTTAGCATTTCTATTCTGGAACGCAAGTTTCAGAGTCTCTTCTTACATTCATTTTGGTCTTTTCTTTCAGTTTTGTCTTCTTAATGACCTTTTGCTTTCTTCATGTATGATGTTCTTGAAGTCATCCCACAACTCTTCTGGTCTTTAGTGACTAATGCATCAAATCTGTTCTTGAGAGGATCTCTAAATTTAGGTGGGATATATTCAAGGTCATATTTTGGCTGTCATGCAATTGTTTTAATTTTCTTCAGCTTCAGTCTGCACTTGCATATGAGCAATTGATGGCTTGCTCCACAGTCTGCCCCTGGCCTTCTTTAGGCTAATGACATGAAGTTTTTCCACTGTCTCTTTCCATAGATGTAGTCAATTTGACTTCTGTGTATTCCAAATGGTAATCTTTTATGCTGTTTAAAAATGGTATTTGCAATGAATAAGTCATTGATATGCAAAAATTTTATCATGTGGTCTCCAGCATTGTTTCTATCACCAAGAAGTGTTTTCCAAAGACTGATCCTTCCTCTTTGTTTCTAACTTTTGCATTCCAATCATCTGTAATGATCAACACATCTTGACTGTCTGATTAATATCAGACTGTAGAAGTTGGTAGAATTCTTCAATTTCATCATCCCTGGCTTTAGAGGTTAGTGTGTAAATATGAATAACAGTGGTGTTAACTAGTCTTCTTGTGTTGTTGTTGTTAGATGCCATTGAGCCGGTACTGACCCATAGCAACCTTATGCACAGCAGAACGAAACACTGACTCATCCTGGGCCAACCTCACTACTGTTGCCATGCTTGAGTCCATCGATGCTGCCACTTGGCCATTCCATCTCGTTGGAGTCTTCCTCTTTTTCTCTGACCCTCCACCTTACCAAACATGATATCCTTCTCCAGTGACTGGAGGCCAAGATGGCCAAACTTCGACTCTCATACTTTGGACATATTGTCAGGAGGGACCAGTCACTGGTCAGAGAAAAAGAGGAAGACCCCCAAGGAGATGGATTGGCCAAGTGGCAGAGAAAAAGAGGAAGACCCCCAAGGAGATGGATTGGCCAAGTGGCAGCATCGATGGACTCAAGCGTGGCAACAGTTATGAGGTTGGCCCAGGATGGGTCAGTGTTTCGTTCTGCTGTGCATAAGGTTGCTATGATCAAGAGCCAATGATACTGAAGGAGGAAATCTTTCAAGAAAGTGAGGCGGCACAGGAGGCATTCACTTGTCTCTGCCAAGAAACTTGAAGACAACTATCTGGCCGCCTGATTAGAAGAGATCCATATTTGTGCCCATTCCAAAGAGAGGTGACCCAAAGGAATGTGGAAATCATCGGACACTCTCTTTGATATCCCCTGCAAGTAAAGTTTTACTAAAGATAATAAAGAAACAGCTACAATCATATATTGACAGAGAACTTCCAGAGGTTCAAGCCGAATTCAGAAGAGGCTGTAGAATGAGGGATATCATTGCTGATGTCCGATGGATCTTGTCTGAAAGCAGAGAATATCAGAAAGATGTTTACCTGTGCTTTACTGACTATGCAAAGGCTTTCGATTGTGCCTTCCTTGTAGTCATATGGATATTATCCTAACAAAGACAGCATTGTACGTCAGGATACATTTTGAAATGTTCTTTATGATAATGAATGTGACACCATTCCTCTAATATTTGTCATTCCTGGCATAGAAAAATCCATGTGATTGTAAG